AAAACATTTCTTTATTGATTCATTCAGTTTTTTAAAATTTCATTTTCTTTTTTTCCTATTTTTGAATATTTTTTCATCGCTGTTATTTGAATTTTTATTGCTAAAATTCAGTAAAAATTCAACAAACAACGTAAAAATTCTCATTTTTACTGGATTATTCAGTAAAAAACGTGACAATTTGTTTGAAAATTCGTTTGCTGCCGGTGTCGTCAACAAAGGGAAAAGAGTCTCATGTAACGAATGTCCAATCATTCAAATCGTTCGTTATCAATGGGATTCCTGTCAATAAACGTTGTTTTTAGTTACACTTTTCATTCGATTTTTTTGTGCTCGGGCTCCAGTTGTTGGTTGTAACATACCCAACAACTGATCCTTTATACAACGATTTTCTGGAATGAATGGTCTGACGGGAAATAGTGACTATTTGCTTAAAAACTCGTTCGTTTCATGTTACGAATGTCAAATTATATTGTTCATTGGATGTTTATTGACTTTAGCTCGCATCGTTCTTTACGTCATTGTCTTTCAAGTAACTGCACCATTTTTCCGGGTGAACCCGTCCGTCCGCTAATGAAAAATTATGACTACTTGTTGAAAATTCATCTGCTTCCTCATGTAAAAAAGGAAAGACATCCGATAATGAAACAACAAAAACGGGAAAAAACCCATGTAACGAATCCCCAATTATTAAAACTCGTTCGTTTCATGTTACGAATCCCCAACTATTAAAGTTTCTCATTATCAATGGGATTCCTGCCAATAAACGTTGTTTTTAGTTACATTTTCATTCGGCCTTTTTGTACCGGGACTGGACTTGTTAGTTGTAACATTCTCTATAGACCGTTTTTCTGGGATGAATGGTCTGACGTGAAATGGCGACTATTTGCTTAAAAACTCGTCCATTTCATGTTACGAATGTGACATTATATTCTTCATTCGATGTTTATTGACTTTAACTCGAATCGTTCCTGCATCCTTCTCTTTCAAGCAACCTCCCAACTTTTTTGAATGAATGCATTCATCAACTAATGAAAAATTGTGACTATTTGCTTGAAATTCATTGGTTTCGCCATGTGGAAATGCACCTATAAAAATAAAAACAGCAAAAAAAGGGAAAGGCGTCCGGTAGCTCAATGGAGAATGTTCCAACGAACGGAACGAGTCCAATTACGTTGAAATCGGATGAAAACCTCCAACAGACAGAATTTCTTATTTTTTTTGTCATTGCAGCAAATGACAGTTCACACTATTTAGCACAACCATGAATTTCCATCGAGTTACATTGAATGGAAAATATCCTGAATATCCTCAATTTCCGTTTTTACGTACCAGAACTTATATTTTTATATTTGTAATACACATTTTTATTATGATTTCATTTTCTTTTTATACGTACGAGTTTCTCATTTTTATAGTTTCGTTCATTTCTCCGGGATTACTCGTAGATATAAAGTTTCCGTTGACTTACTTACGGGATTTTCTGGAAGAGCTGTTTTGTGCTGTAGAAGGATGTCAGGGAAAAAGAGATGAGTCGCCCCCCTCGGGCCGCGGCAGTCAATTCTTCTCGTGCCTTTTACATGGATCGCCTACGGCTATTCAACGGTCAGACAGGCCATGCCAGAAATTTTCTCTTCGTTTCTTGGAAGAAAGAAACATGACGCCTAGTACAAGGCCCTGGGCGAGAACGGTTCATCTTAATGTGGATATATTTTCTGGGCATTTGAGTGAAGTTTTTCGATTTCGTAATTTACAGCTTGAGAAGGAATTTCTAAACTCACCGAGAATCCTCGACGCTACGATTAAAGTTCATTTGAAGGATATTTTTAGGTCTCGTGTGTTTCAAGTGAAGAGCGTGAGAATTTTATTTTCATTTCATGTTTTTCATATTTTTCAAACATTTGCATTACATAAATAAATAATGGAATTTGGTAATTTTGAATTTCCAAACGATTAATCAATAACACTTAAACATTCTGACGCATATCAGTGCGTCGGTAAAATTTTTTCCTCATATCACCCTCGAAAGTCAGAAAATGTCGCAATGTTCACAAAACTTGAAATTTAAATAAATAAATTCCATTCAACAAAACCTTGACATTCCTTTGCTTGAATCATTTCTAAATTCTCCGAGAATCTCTCTTCATTCCATCTTTTTAATTTTTCTCAAACATTTTCTCTACATAAATAAATAATTGCATTTGGTAAATTTAAATTGCGAAAGGATTAACCGATAACATCTCAACATTCTGAAACATATCAGTCCCTCGGTAAAAATTTCCTCCTCATACGTCCCTCAACTGAAAATGACACAATGTTTACGAAAAATTGAAATTCAAATAAATAAATAAATTCCGTTCAACCAAACCTTGACATTCCCTTCGCTTGAATCATTTCTAAATTCTCCGAGAATGTCCAATCCTACGATTAAAGTCTATTCGAAGGATATTTTTACTTCTCAAATATTTCAATTGAATAGCGTGAGAATTTTTCAAACACTTTCTCTCCACAAATAAGTAATTACCAAATTGCATTTTGTACTTTTAAATTGCCAAAAGATTAATCGACACCATCCTCCGTTAAAAATGTCCTCCCCATGCGTCCCCCAACCGAACTGTCGCAATGTTCACAAAAACCTGCAATTCAAACAAATAAATAATCTCCATTCAACAAAGCCCTGACATTCCCTTCGCATGAATCATCGCAATAATCGTCTCTCAATATCAATAACTCAATCCCTGGAAATCCTCATGCTACATTGCAATGATTACAAGCCCGTTTACTGGTCCGTTACATCACTCCAAATGGCTCCATCGCTTTCCGATTCTATCCACTTCTGTTCGCTTCTCCGTACTACAACGAGAAAAAAACCCCAGAGAAAAATGCGATGAGTGTGCAAATAATTTCGCGAGTGGGGGAGGAAAAGAGTCGAATCGAATGCACAATAACTCGACTCCTGTATTACCCTTCCCCCCAGTCAGCTCATCGCCGCGGTGCCCCCCTCCCCCCCCACCCCCTGCTCGTTGATCAACTTGTTTTACCTCTCAACAACATAGGTTTGACCGTTATACGACCCAATGGCGACCCACATTCAGCCAGCACGCGCCTTCCTGGTCACTGCGGCACACTCGCCAACCTTTAAAACTCTCCCAGCCAATCTCGTAAAAGATCCTCGTATCACGCACCCAAGAGGTCATATACGGTATATTCAAGATTTTTCATTAAACATGAACGAGCACAGGGTCACCAGAGCTACCGTAAAGCAAAGTTGCGAATGTATTTGTCATTCTTTTTTATTCTTTCTCCCCGTCTGCTGTGAGTTCCACATCCCCAAACGCTCCGGGAGGACCTGACGTGTGATAATGGTAACGTCGTGAGTTTCAGGTTTCTAGGACTTGACGAAGCACGTCGTCTTACAACCGACAGCATAACACGTATCACATGCGACGGAGTGCCCCGTGAGACCTCTTGCATAAATGCAAGTCTGGTGTCACGTGGGGAATTAAATTGGGTAGATTATATTGAATTTGGATTGACGATATTCCAGTGCTGACATAATTTTTAAATTCATTACGATAGGTTCGTAGAACATCAGAGCTTTTCCAATGATTTTATCGGTTAAACATTTTCCATTTTAATTATTATTTTTACAAAATCATAAAAAAATTGCCAATAATCAGAACTTTACCTGGAATCAACGTCACGTCAAAAGAATAAAGTTTTCAAAAGTTTTTAACAATTTCCATCATTTATTCGCAAGAGGGAATTTTTTTTTACTGCAAAATACAATTTAAAAGACTCTGATTACCCGTGATTATTTAAAATTCTGCTCACACAATTCAATTGACAAATTCGATAATTGAAAATCCCAGAAACTGCAGTATTCTTCTTACGAAACTATAAAAGCTACTCGAAAGTTCTCAAGAAGATTCAATGTTTTACATTACCGAGAATCCTTTAAATGCTGAATCCTCAACGGAATCGAGGGGGACCCTTTGATGCCTCGGGGGAATCAGGTTTATTGTTCTGTTCACCTCTATTATTGAGAAAGGTTAAGCATCTCCGTTAACGTGCACTAAATTTGCAGTACACCGTAGAAAACCGTAATAACACAGGAGTGCCCTCATAAAGACGTGAAAACGCGGTTTATTTTTTTCCTTTTAAGAAGAAACGTGTGTCCCCGTGATGGAATCATTTGTCCTTCTTGACCCATCCATTGTCCTATTATCACCGAAGCAGAGGATTTGCACGAAAATTCCCAGAAATATTCGACAAAGAGTCAACATCCTTCTTTCATCGTTACCTCTCCCTTCAACGCAATGCGAATGGTATGAAATTCGTACTGTGAATCCCCTTCAGAGTGACTCCTCCCACCATCTAGCGTAGCGTCCCCTCAACCACACTCCCCTCTGAATATCACACTTCCCTCGATTATAATTCAATTTCTTGCAAGGGTTGAGTGTGGAATTATGACTGAAGCCTGTGGGGGTTGGCCAAGGATCATGATTCGAACAGTTAATCATCTGCATTTATCCAGTAACTCGCAGGACCTGCGATAAACTGCCAGAGCTTTTACCCCCGTGCATGATCCAGCGGACCCCCATAAATCTCTTTTCCCCCGCCGCACCCCGTAAACAGTCAATTTGGATCGTCATTTACCCCAAAATGACTGCACGTGATTTTCATAACAATGAGCAATAATGAGAGTTGCAGAAGCGATACTTAAATATACGCCGGCTATAACTCTATAATGAATCGTATAATTCTCGTTTCAAGTATTATTAGTTAGATTCTATCTGAGAGTCGTTTGAGCAAAGCACCGATTGTCCATGATAGGTATTTAATTCGTACAGCGCCGTAAATTTTATCATCTTCACTGAAAAAAACCCTCAACGCGAGGATAATTGACATTAACGATCCCGATTGATCCTGTTAAATCTCGTTAAATCGATGAAAGACAAACTTAATCATTACTAAAATTGCGATCACCTTTTCTGTTGCAGCATTGTCACAGGTACAAGCAGCTGAGGAGACGCAGGTTGACACGCACGAGGGCTCGACGGTTCTCCTGCAATGTCGCTTTCCTCCAGTGCGACAGAATGCCACATCATTCTGGCTGAGCAACACCAACAATGTTCACGATAATGCTGTGGTTGACGCCAAACCTCTGTCGCCAAACTACCGCGTCGACATGGATCTCGCTGCTGGTCGCTATGATCTTGAAATCCATAATGTATCGTACGACGCGAATAACGGAAAGTACGAGTGTCGTATCAAGAAAACCGGCAGTGGTGTCAATCTGTACCACAAGAATGTGACACTAACGGTGCTAAGAGCACCAGGCCAACCATCAATATCACCAACATCAACACCAGCTACTGAGGGTAAACCATTGAAACTCCAATGTAACACGTACGGAGGTAGTCCTGAGCCAGAAGTCAAGTGGTACAAAGACAATAGCCTCAAGGAACTCCACACAGGACGTGAATTGGAGATTGTACCAACTAAGGATGATGATGGTGCTATATTCTGGTGTATCGTTAGAAATCGTGCTATGCCGGTGGGGCACTCGTTGAATGCCACTGTGAGACTCGATGTTAATTACTTTCCCCGGGTGACAGTTGGCCCGGAGAATCCGTTGAAAGTAGAAGCTAATGAAAAAGCTGTCTTGCGTTGCAATGTCGATTCCAAGCCCAAAGTCAGCATGGTGCGGTGGATGCGGGACGGTAGTTTCTTTGCAACATCATTTGACCATACGATGCCGAGGGTAACGGTTCAAGACGCTGGACATTACACTTGCCAGGCTGACAACATGCTTGGTAGAACAGGTGAAGCGTCACTGTATCTTGATGTACTCTATCCGCCTACAGTTGCTATCGAAGGTGATACAATTCGCGTTGCTGAGGTTGAGGATACAGTGACAGTTCACTGTAATGTATCAGCGAATCCTCCGCCAACTTCGGTCGAATGGTTCAGGGATGGTAAACCAGAGTTTCGGCATTCTGGCCCGATATTACGATTCACCAGAGTCAATGCTGAACATGCTGGTAACTACACGTGTAAAGCGATCAATATCATTCACCCAAGTGGTGGCGAACGGAAAAATCACTCCGCCATTGCTCGGGTTAACATACGGATACGTCATAAGCCTGGACCGGCAAAGGTAACACCGGATTCACCAGTCGCTATTGAACACTCAAGTGTTATACTCACTTGTATGGCAAGTCCAGCTGGCTATCCTGAGCCTCAGTACAAGTGGTTCAAAGAGGGTGAGGATGGGGCACCAGAACAGCCCATCGAAACGTCTGGTGCACAATTTGTCATTGACTCTGTTACACTGGCAAGCGATGGCACCTACAGATGTCGAGCTATGAATGAAATTGGCACTGGTGAAGCGGCGCACGTTAGACTCACTGTTCATCAACAGCCCAAAATTGTAACCAAACTTCAGCCACATCTCACACGTACAGTTGGCGAGTCTGGTTTCGCAGTGTCTTGCGTGGCACACGGTAAACCAAAACCCTTGGTTCATTGGCTCAAAGACGAGGAGGAACTCACTGCCGATGAGAGTTTGTACAAAGTTGTAACTCTAACGTCCAAAGGTCATGGTAATGTTATCACCGTTAACTCAACACTAAGTTTTCTGGGTCACTCACGACCGAGTACTGATCATATCATAGCCAGTGATAGGGGCAAATATACCTGTGTTTTTGTTAATGATGTCAAGAAAGTTGAATCTGAAATGATGCTGAAGATAGCGCATGCACCACTTGTCCTGCATAAACACAAGAAAGTGGCTTACAATCTGAAGGAAACCGCTGAGATAACTTGTAAAGTACAGGCTTGGCCGAAGCCGGAATTTCAGTGGAGCTTTGGATCTAATGCAGCACCACTTCAGGGTGCATCGAGTGATGGGCATTATGAGCTTTGGACTACCACGGTTGAGAAGGATGATATATACACCTCGGTGTTGAGAATATCGGATATTAAGGAGGAGGATTATGGTGAGTACAGCTGTCGTGCTGCTAATGCACAGGGACCTGTCACATCTGTAATCACTCTCCAGCCGAAGGGAGCACCGGAGAGGCCCTCGGACCTCAGTGCTGTGGAGATTGGACCGACTTATGTGGCGTTACAGTGGGAAGTTGGCTTTGACGGTGGTGTGGCCATTACCAAGTACTTTGTGTCTTATCGAAGGGTTCTTGTTGAGAGTGAGGATCGGTCTGTTCCACTTGACTGTGCACCACCTCGTGGCCCCGCTGGGCAGTGGCAGGAGCTCGACTGTCGCAGGTCTAATCCCTGTAACATTACTGGTCTCGAACAGCATCAGAAGTACACGTTTAAGGTGAAGGCTTACAACACCAAGAATCATTCTGATTACTCGGAGGAGAAGACGTTTACAACTACTGTCGCTAAAATCCCATCGCCTCATCGTGTTAGCTATCATCCGGAGAGTGGTTCACTGGTTATCAATGTTGGTCCTACTTGTTTGGCTGTCGTTGCTTCCATAGAACGCACCGATGGCGGTTCTAATCAGTGGAGAGTTGTCGACGAGTGGCCGCTCGAAGTCATGGGGAGTGCACCAACTCAGAGGGAGGGGATCCTTGATGATCCTGACACTTCCAGTGGTGAACCACGACTCAAGGTCAAACTTTGTCTCAAGTCTGATAGGGAGAAGTGCGGCGAGTGGACTGAAGCTGAGGGTAAGTTAGCTTCAACGATTACTCAAGTTCTCGCTTTTTAGTTCTCATTTTGCATTGAGAATTCATTAAACCGCGATGCAAATTTTCCGATGGAAAAATATTTTAGTTAACTATTTTGCTCCATTACTGCAGCACTTCAAAACAAGGTTTCCGAGCAGGAAAACATGAGTTGTTTGTAGACAAGAAATTTGAGGGAAAAATGAATCGCCAGGGTGTTTTCCATCGGAAATTTCTCACGCTGTCCAACGGGACTATTTCGAGATGTTCTCTGGAAGATCTCGATTCATCCCGTTACACTGAGGAAAAAGGGTTTCTTGTTTGTAGCACGAAGTTACTGAGTTTTATTCATAGTTCCAACAGGCATTGTCCTCAGAATAAGAAGATATTTATTGAATTGCAGAAAAATAATATCGGAAATTGAGTGTTAAAAATTGAAAAGAAACTTTTTTATCAGCTTTAAAGAAAATCTTCTTAGAATAAGTGGAAATTTTACATATAAAAAAAAAGTTTTGATAATCAGCGACATTCAGACTTTTGTTCTTTATACACAATTCCTCGAATGGAGGAAAAATCATTAGCAGGGGAGCACAGGGAAGGACTTTGGGGGGAAAATAGCTCGTCAGGATGTTTTCCATCGGAAATTTCTCACGCTGTTCAATGAGACTATTTCGGGACGTTCTCACGGAGATCTCAATGCATCCCTTCACACTGAGAAAAAAGGGTCTCCAGTTTCCACAATAAATCTACCAATTTCACCTCATCATTTTAACGTGCATTGTCCGCAGAATAGGAAGTTATCAACTGAATTACAAACAAGCAAAATCGGCATTAAAAGTATCGAAAATAAAAACGAGGCATTTTGTGTCCAACGTTTGAGAAAAATATAAGAATTTCAAAGTAACAACATTTTATATGTAAAAAAACCTTTGAAACTTTTTCCTCTGCGATCAATTCTCCAAATAACCGGAAAATCGTTGATTTTAAATATCAATAATAATTTCCAGTTGGGCCATCGGTGATAAATCAAGCGGGTGCCCTAGCAACGCCAACGTTAATCGCCCTAGTCGTCAGTGGTGCTGTTTTCCTCCTATTCACAGCCCTGTTACTCCTCTTCTGCCGTTGCCGAAGGAAGCACGCAGCAAAAGCCAAGGACTATGAGATGGACTCTAACGCGTAAGTCACCCTGATCCACTCTACTTATTCCTCCCGAAGAGAGAGCTACTCCCTGCAAAGCCCTACCCCTTTTTACATTCAAAGTGCCCCGGATGCACTTCTTTTTTTCCCCCCGCTTTCCCCCTGCCTTTTATCTCGACTCATTCTTTTTTCTCTCCTTTCTCCACATTTTTTATTTTTATTTTTCCTCAACACACTGGCTTCATCTCCCTACCCTATTTTCTCAGGCTCGACCGAGCCATCCCACAGGCCCCGACCGTAAACCGTGAAATGGAAGTCTCGTACTCGATGGAGGGAAGAAAAGACGTGGCAAGAAGTTGCACATCAGAGAGGGATGGGAGACATTCGCGTTGTAAAAACTAACGGCTCGTTCTATCTTGACAGCTTGAGATTTACTTTGTGTACATATATTTTTTTTCGAGAGGTTCGGGAATCGGGGGGAGGGAAATGCAGTGGCATTACTGGCACATCTGAGGTGTTAATATCGATAATGCATGCTCGATCACGCGTGACAACGAAGCCATACACGTTGCCATCTATAAATAAGTTATGCACACTGGATGGCGTTATATAATTCACCAACAAGCCACTGTCTGAACGATTGTACTCCTGCCATTGCCTAACGCTCATCTTATTTATTATTTTTACTCAATTTTGTTCTTTACGATGTGGATAACACTTCCCAACGAAATAAGAATCGATGGGTAAAGGGCTACATTGCTGGATAAAATCCATCGCCATCCAATTTTACGTTGGCTCACCCACCGATTTACGACTTCTTTGAGAACAACCGTCAGTTTTACGAGGATTTGTATCTACCACCAAGTTTTCTGGATAGCTGTGAAATAAGAAAAAGAGAGGTAGAGGAAACAGAGAGGAAGTATTATCACATAAAAATACTTTGTCTCCTCTTCACTCTCGTTTATTTATTTTTTCCTTATCTCTGCTTCTCGTTCGTTTATTCAGAGTTCATTCGAACAATTCTCTTGGTAATCACGTTAGTTTGGAGGCAAGATGCTCATTTATACCTCCAACAAGATGGGAAGCCTATTTTTAATACAAAACATTCTGGTGCAAAGAGAAAACTTCATGCCAAATCTCAATTTAACATGTCGAATTTTGCAAAAGTGAGAGTGCTATGAAGGCTTTTGAGAAAAAAATCGAAAAGTGGGAATATCTCGGGAATTTTGTACGAACGGGTATACATATTTTGATTGATTGAGATAGGGAACATCGAGAGGTATATTTTGAAAGAAAGAAAATTTTAATCGGTTGACTAGTTTAGAAACAAATGGCGATTTTTAAAAAACGGCTGGATCGATTGAGGAAACAGGAAGTATTATCACATCAAAATATTTTGTCTCCTCTTCACTCTCGTTTATTTATTTTTTCCTTATCTCTGCTTCTCGTTCGTTTATTCAGAGTTCATTCGAACAATTCTCTTGGTAATCACGTTAGTTTGGAGGCAAGATGCTCATTTATACCTCCAACAAGATGGGAAGCCTATTTTTAATACAAAACATTCTGGTGCAAAGAGAAAACTTCATGCCAAATCTCAATTTAACATGTCGAATTTTGCAAAAGTGAGAGTGCTATGAAGGCTTTTGAGAAAAAAATCGAAAAGTGGGAATATCTCGGGAATTTTGTACGAACGGGTATACATATTTTGATTGATTGAGATAGGGAACATCGAGCGGTATATTTTGAAAGAAAGGAAATTTTAATCGGTTGACTAGTTTAGAAACAAATGGCGATTTTTAAAAAATGGCTGGATCGACTGAGGAAACAGGAAGTATTATCACATAAAAATATTTTGTCTCCTCTTCACTCTCGTTTATTTATTTTTTCCTTATCTCTGCTTCTCGTTCGTTTATTCAGAGTTCATTCGAACAATTCTCTTGGTAATCACGTTAGTTTGAAGGCAAGATGCTCATTTATAGCTCCAACAAGATGGGAAGCCTATTATCAATACAAAACATTCTGGTGTAAAGAGAAAACTTTATGCCAAATTTCAATTTAACATGTCGAATTTTGCAAAAGTGAGAGTGCTATCAAGGCTTTTGAGAAAAAGATCGAAAAGTGGAAATATCTCGGGAATTTTGTACGAACGGGTATACATATTTTGATTGATTGAGATAGGGAACATTGAGAGGTATATTTAAAAAAAAAAATGGAAATCGGTTGACTAGTTTTTGAGATATTTGCGAAAAATAATTTAGAAACAAATGACGATTTTTAAACAACTGCTGGATCGATTGAGGAAACAGAGGAAGTATTATCACATAAAAATACTTTGTCTCCTCTTCGCTCTCGTTTATTTTTTTTCCTTATCTCTGCTTCTCGTTCGTTTATTCAGAGTTCATTCGGACAATTCCCTTGATAATCTCGTTAGTTTGAAGGCAAGATGCTCGTTGTTACCTGCAACAAGATGAGAAAGTAGCAAAGGGGGGAGAGAAAATCCCTCAGCGAGTAATTTCCGTGGCAAATAGAAAGAGAGAGGGGGGAAAAACATACACTTCAATTCACAATTTTCCCCTGTCATCTGCATCTCCGTTTTATGGGTAATGATAAAGTACGAACTGCAGATGGTTTTACACGGGGCAACAGCCGGGAGTATCAACTCGTTATTTTCCAAGCCATGTAAAACTCGTTACGTATTCTAGTCGTACTTGTTAATATTCTCCTCCCCCCTCCCTCTGGCCGCCCCTCGGGGGTGAGATGGAGTTTAGGGAAAATGACAAAATGTATTTTCGTTGATACAGGGTACGTCCGAGTTTGGTCACTGGTAATGGACAGCAGAATCAAGCGCCTCCGCCTTATTTTGCGGAGAATAAGGCCCTCGAGCACAGTTTGGATCATGCACTGGCGATGGAGGACTCGAAAACACCACCGTATGCACAGACTGGATATGGATATCATCAACCCACTCACAACATCAATGGTGAGAATGGTAAATTGTGAAATAAATTACTAACAACTTTTTACTCTCATTACATTTTGTCGTGGATAACTTGGGGTAATGTTGGTACTTTTAATCAGACTCGGAAGCATTGTTGAGGGGGTAATCTCGTAAAATATGGTGTGTCGGAGGATTTTAGAGTGAAGGAAATCGGGAATGTAATTCTGGAATTTTTAGAGTGTTGAAAATTTGAAATTTTCGACGTACTTGATGGAAATTTTTATCATACTTTAATATCAATGCAATTTGAAGGAATTTCGTCTTGGAAAATTCAACATTTTATGGGAAAACCAGTGGAAACTGGAATTTAGTTTAATCATTTCATTGAAATTAAGAGGAATCAGGAAAATTCAGGTGAATTTTTTCTTGAATTTTCATAAGAACTGGTGATCAGGTGGATTTAAAAGCAACGGAAAGCTGAAGTGCAATTCTAAAACTTCGACACTGTTGAAAATTTGAAATTTCCGGAATACTTTTTGGAGATTTTTATCACACTTTAGTACCACAGAAATTTCAAGGAATTTCTTCTTTGTAAATTCAATATTTCATGAAAAAAATTGGGGAAATTATGGGATTCAGTTCAATTAGTCCCTGAAAATCGAGAGGAATCAGGAAAATTCTGGTGAATGTATTCTTGAAATTTAAATTAATTCGAAATTTGGTGCTGAATATTCCCGTTCTTATTGAGAATTCAAGTAAATTGGAGAACTCCTGTCTCCCTGCCGCTGAAAACTGTGAAATTTTATTCCGCTGTCAGTGAATTTTGAAATTCTATGATTTTTTTTCCTAAATAGAAATGACTATCACTCCTCTAAAAATTACTAGTCAATTCTCCCTGAAGTTTAAATTTTTTTCTGACTGAAATTCTCGTATAATCTCATTTCAACTTCATCACAACATTCTGAAGAAGCATTTAATGAAGAAATTTGTGAACATTTCTGTCCTGAATATTAACGTTTTCATTGAAAATTCAAGTAAATTAAAGAATTCTCGTTTTTCTGCTGCTCAAAAATTTAAAATTGCGTGATTATCTCCTCTAGGGGAGGGTGGGGCAAAACGGCCCCCCTTCAATTGTCAATAACTTGTGAATGACATTGTGAAAATTCCCAGTTTCAACTTCATTTTGAAGATAATTTTTCATTCTTCAAAACGAGCTCTAACTCATCCCAATCGGATTATTGAATCGGAAAATATTGACGATTGAAGGGGGGCCGTTTTGCCCCATCCTCCCCTATTACAAGTGAAAACAATTAAAAACAAAATTAACCATGAACGAAACCCTGAATGAAACCCTCGAAATTTCCCAGGTGTCAACATGGGATACCTGGACAATAGCTACTCAAACTCCAACAACGGTGGATCCGTCAACTCGCAGGATTCAATCTGGCAGATGAAATCCGCAGCAGCCAATGGGGTAAATCCCCAGTACGATCTTGGTGGATATGCCCCGACAGAGTCCGATTATCCAGCCCACCAGCACTATTTACCACAAAGAGAGGATTACCGGGAGAGTCACAACCTCAGTCGACAGCAATTCTGCACTGAGCCCTTTGCCACTGTTGTCAAATCACAGAAACATGTTGGTGAGTATTTCAAAGGGATCAATGAGGGGGATTTACTATCAATGTTGCTTTATCTTTCGGCATTAGTGCAGCTGAATTGATAAAGGGATCTGGAATTTCGATTGGATATTCCTCAATTACACACGAAATAACATTAGGACAAATCAATTCGGGCCCTGCACCTGGAGTAATTCATTTGGACTATTTATTTGAAGTTTCGTCATTGATTACAGCAATATTTTCAATGCAAATTCAAAAATTTATGGAAAAATCTATGGACACTGTGAATTTCAGTGCAATTACTCTTAAAATATTGATAAAGACCAGGAAAATTTGCTGTAGTTCAGCACTAAATATATGTTTTGAATGAAAGTTCATCTAATTTTCATTGAAATCTGAAATTTTAAAATGCTTCCCCCCTAAATCGAATTCAATGTCACTCGTAAAAGTTACTCGTCAACTGTTCATGAAATTGAAATCTTCCTCCAACAGTGTAGAATTAAATAAACGATTTATTTACATTAAAAAAAAGCATTTGTTCATATCAGAAAAACAGCAAATGAAAATCAAGTTTTGTGAATAAAAAAAAACATTTGGACTATTTATTTGGGATTTCGTCATTGATTACAGCAATATGTTTAATGCAAAAGAATTGATTTGTTTATTCCAGTGAAATTGACAATTTATGGATTGTAAGTAATTCTCTATTAAACTGTGAGAATTTTTTGGTTGAGATTTCACGATTTTTCCTCCTAAATCGAACTGCCCACGAAATTTCAATTTTTTCCCAATAATGGCTAATCAAGTGACCGATTTATTTCCATGAAAAAAAAATCGTTTACATTAAAAAACCTATTCATTTCATGTAAATGAGAAACCAAACGAAAATCAAGTTTTCTGAATGAAAAAAACAGATATTAACATTGAATCCTTGAATTTCAGACTCCCAATACGACGTCTCAGGACTCCCCTACCAAGAGACATACGACGGCGAGCCAAAGCCCCCCCAAGTGAGCCTCTCCTACGACGAGAGTCTCGAGTCTGGCTACTCAACTCCCAACAGCCGGCGACCGCGAATCATAAGGGAGATAATTGTCTGAGATCAGGATAATGGCTCGCGAGCCACTTGGATCTAGCAGCGGGCCCCCTACGACCATCACCACATGGAAATTGTTATTGAAAATCAAACCGAAACACCACCAATGATGCCACCAACAATGAGCCCCAATTACGGAGCCCTTCCAGTATCAACTGGCCATCCTTTCTACTACAGTACCCTGCCAGCGAGACGTAGCCAACCGAAAATAACTCAGCCATCAGATTTCGACATGTCAGTGCGTCGTGTTGACAAGTCTGGTTTACTCGAGATATCCGAGTCCGAGCCAGGCCGCAGAACGAGACACTTGACTGGTGCTGAGAGCCATCACACTGGCACATTGCCTCGACGAATTGACAGACTAGGTCTTCTCGAGGCTGTACCCGAAGTGCCTGATCAGTCCCAGATCCAACAGTCCCCTGAAATAACGAAGAATATCATGGAGAGGCACTTGACAGGGGCTGAGAATGATCAGAGGGACCAGAAACGAATGCCAAGTCCAAGACCCCCACGATCACCAGAGACCAAATGCCACAGTGAGAGTATAACATCAACTACACCAGTCTCCAGTCCCTATTCACGTCGTCAACTCAGTCCAAAACCACTGGAGACTTCCAAAGACACCAGCAATTGTGAGAATGACAAACGCAATTGCGGTCAATACACCAATGTCTCAGCCATGTTCCTGCCAATTGATGCACAACGCAATCGTCAGTCATACGTTGATTTGACTGGTGCCACATACACCAAGAGCAATTCACCACTGATGATTGGACGTGCCAATACGACAATCGATCTGTCACACGACGATATTAAACAAACACCCGATTGTCTTACTAGACTCAGTCCGAGACTGAGGGGTGACAGACAATCACCCATGACAGTGTCCTCTGTACCTGATGTCATTGAGGCACATGGATCGAAAAAATGTGGTGATGGTGGTAAGCCTGAGGGTGAACGCGCTGAAGCCGAGGGCTGTGAGCACACTGCCATTGAGAGCCTTGAGGAAGCCAGAGTGTCCTTCAAAGCATCCAATAAAATACTCCATAATGATAATATACAGACGTTGAGAGTTATTATACTTTCGGAACAGTTGTGAGAACGTGACGCATGTCCATTCGGATAAATGGACGTAAGTGTTGATTATTATTATTTTTTTTATAACAGTGATGATTCGTTTGGGGACTCTCTCTCTTCTCTCTGACTCGTTGAAGCAATATTTCAGTTAGAATGTTTTATTTTGTTGGTTTTGATTTTTTTTAATTCCTTTGTTTGTAAAACAAAATGTGCAAATTAATGATAGTGGGAGGCTATTTTAATTAATTGAGGGGAGAGGACTGGGGGTTTTAAAAGACTTGAAAACGGAGGAATTGGTGGGGAAAAATGCTTATTGTTCGTAAATTTTTCAGTAATTAAAAAATAGTTTTAGAATTACGAATAACTTTTATCGATTTCGATCTCTGAATAGACTTTCGTTTTTGTATGGACAATCGTGTTCTTTTAGTTCTTGATTTTTTATTGTCTGAAACGAATGGAAAATATTATAAATATTTTGAGAATAGATTTTGCGTGCAATTCTGCATTCAAACAGAAACGAAAGTGACTATTTAAAGGTCGAATTAAAGAAGATGAGGAAATTAGGGATGAACATTCGTTTTTTTGCACTCATTCTTCGGTTTTATGCATGTACATTCAACTGCTATAGTTCGGGTCTTTCAAAACTCGCAGTAGTCTCCCCTTAACAGACGATACAAAGGATAACATTGTACAGGGACGTTGAGACGAGTTTTATTGTACAGTTGTAATAAGGAATAACAGGAAACGTGCGTGAACACTGATTTTAATAATAGATGCCACAAAGACTTTGGGGTTTTTGAAGGGATAAGGGAAAATTAAGGGGGGGGAATAGTCTAATCTGACGCCACAAGAGGCCATATTTAATGAGGAAATTTCGAACAATGAGTACTCTGAGACACAACAGGACATAAATGAGTTTAAATAAAACAAAGAGATTGCGAGAATAGATAATTATCATGTTAATGATCAACGCGAGATACTTAATGTATTTTTAAAGAAAACGTATAGAGAATTGTGGAAGAATTTTTAACTGAGATGATAGGATTGTGTGCGTCTGGGACGTGTGCAATTGTCGAGGGAAATTCATGTTTATGTCGGTTTACAACGACATTCCCTCGGATAAAGTGGGTTTAATACGGCCAGGATGCCGGGTAACATTGGAAATTCCTCGTTGCTGGTGTCCTGATTCATGAAACCACAGTATTTAAGAGATTTTCATCGTCAGTAGCGAAATCCTGTCTTCTAACATTATAAAATATCAACAATGCAACCCAACGAAAATTCTTGTATCTCCCTGGGATGCAACACGCGCCGTAAATGCTATGCTGAACTATTTCACCGTGAGACAACACGTGCGATAAAATTTCACAGAGAAACCCAACGCATTTATTCAGCAGCGAAGCGGTAAAATGATTCAAGTCGATTTTCACTATTAGCCAGTTTTTCGTGAATATCTCGAGATCTAAGAGAGATGGCAAAATTTTCGTCAAGGTCATTCTTGCAGCCCTCAATTCGCTCTATGAAAAAGGTCATTATGAACATTTCGGTATCTCCCTCAGATTCGGAGATATTCCTGGAAAACTAAGCTAAAGGCTGAGTCGACCCGTTTTACCGCTTCGCTGCTGTGTTAGAAAATTCTATCGGATTTCTAGTAATTTGAATAATTCCGCGGTTTATCTGTACATTTTTTTTGCATGTTCAATGGAAAATATTCTATATAAAAAATTAATTTACAAATTTTCCTGTTCGATTTTTCCTAATAAAGGAAGAATAAAAATAGAGAAACTCGTACAGGAAATGTCCCAATAGCAAAAGTTGTGTAGAAATATGAAATTCTACTGATTTTTTCTATAAAATATTTTCCATTGGACATGTTTCGGAATTCTTCAATAGAAATGTCCAATGGAAAATATTCTATACAAAAAACCTATTCTATTGAGACATTTTCTACAAAAATCCCTCGTATGTATTCCAACTTTCTCCATCAGATTTTTCCCAACGAAGGGAGAATAAAAATAGATAAATTCCTATCAAAAATATCCCCATCCCAAAAGTTCCCCAAAAATACGAAATTCTACTGGTTTTTCCCCTAAAATATTTTCCACTGGACATTTTCAATAAAAAAAAAGAATGCAGTGAATCAGGAAGTTTCAACAGAACCGACGAAAAACTGATAAAAATCCACTAGAATTTTTTACAAAGTTTTTCAATGAAATTTTTTCCTGTTTGAACAGATAGGAGGGAAGGGAAAGATGGGAGTTTATTCGATGTATCGCGGACAGAGTAGACAGCTGCAAGAGCTCTCATCCTGCCTGCGATAAATCGTTGGACAAAGTGAGAACGCTAATGTTCAAACGCTTCCGTTTCTTGGGATAGAGGAGGGATGGGGGAGCTTTGCCATTCAATTGTGCCTCGGGATAAAATAGGAGAGATCAACTGCCATTCTTATTGGGGCTCATACGGGCTAGAATTCCCGGGGCTTTGATCATTTTTTTCCTCTTCTGGTTTTCGAGGGGACAGGGATTTCCATTCGACAATTGCACTGACCAATCGAGATATTTAGGGAGACAAAGGGAGATGAAGACATCTCACTTCTCTGTATTTTATACTTTTATATCGTGGGCGAAGCTGTGACGATGAATGATTGTGATTATTTTTTCTCTCGGTACCAACAACCCCCCTTTTAGTGTGATTTAAGAGTCTATATTTATCGATGTGACGTGATTGTTCATTGTGAGGGGGTGATAGGGTTTTAATGACGGATCGAGTGGAGATATTAAATGAAAATATAATGGCTGGCGTTATGGCACTCGTGAGATTCATATCCAGCCGAATTTTAAAGTTGACGATAAATTTCTAATGATAAATCGTGAAATTGTAATTCCCGTACTCTCGTCGTCCCACGAATTTTTAATGTAACTTTATTTGTTTTCTTAAGATCGGTAGGTTGTAAATATAGGCCATAATTTACGTTAAGGTACTTAAGTGACTAGGAATGATTCAATGTGTTCTTGTTGATAATTCAGATCGACGATACTTCAGTTTAGGGATGATTAACTAAATGTTTTGAGACAGAATTTTATGTTCACTTATTCGATTCAATTGGGCCCCCGTGTACGTGCTGATTATGTGGAAATAGTGGGATTTATATTTTTAGATTTTTTTTGCTGTTAGTTTGATGTCTTTTCTTCTCTCGTTTGAATGTTGGACATGCAGGGGACTGCACTGTTGGAAATAAATTGAAATTTTGAGGGGAAAGAAATTATGAAATTCCAGATTTCACTGAAATTTCAATTACTTAAAAATTCAAGAATATTTTCACCTCAATTTTCGTGATTTCTGTTGATTCTCACGAAATGATTGAACAGCAATTAACAATTTCCATTGATTTTTCCACGAAATTTCAGTGAAACAATAATGTTATGAAAATTTTCAACAGCGTAACGATTACTAAATTTTACTCAGAGTCCCCTCAGCCTGACGTATGGAAACACGATCTGCACTCTTGATCTCATTGCTGCGAAGCGCAAAATTGAATCTCAAAAAAAAAAAAATATCGAAAAAACTGAGGAAAATCGAGATTAATTTAGTCCGCGGCGTCACTCACGCACATGCATTTAAGCGAAATAGAATAATTCCCCCGAAGAGAAGTTGTTCCACTGTGAAAATGTAATGCAATCGCACGTCTACACGAACTGGGCATATTGCATCCTGACTGCGCTCGTTTAAACGCCGTAAAATAAAAACATTGAAGAATTATGAAAAATACGCCGACGGAATATCACGAACGAAATAATCCAAAATGATGATTTTACGCCGGCTATTGTGCACACGTGTCGAGCCAAGTGTGACGTTAGCCCCACAGATGAAATAAAAATAAGAGACTGGGGAAAGAAAATCGCCGGAAGTTGGGGGATTTTTAAAATTCAAA